TTGGTTTCTTTTAGTAGACAGATAAAATATAAGCAAATGGTGATACAAATTGGGATTAAGGAATCTGAAGGATAGATTTCAGATTTTTGTGAGAGGAAAGCTTTATGGATTTTTTAGCCTTTTTTGAAGGTTTGTTAGTTTTATTTTATCTAATATTATTATGATTAGTCTATTATTATTACTATTGTTTTTGTCATTATTATTATTTGCTTTCTTTCTTTTCTTCCTGTTCCTGATCTGCATAGCTTAGATATCAGCAAATGTCTTCAGAAGAAAACAGCTATCAGAATGTTGGCTAATTTCTCAGGTTTCCCTTTGGGTCTATGAAAGGGAAACAAAAACCAACCAAATAAACAAAAACAACAACAACAACAAAACCCTCTTCTGTCTACTTTCAGCATCCTTCATTTCTGACACCAGATGTATGAGGATTTCCCAAACCAAGTAGTTCTTTAATTCTCTGTAGGTTCCAATTGGGTATTCTCAATTCAATTCAATTCTGACATATCTACCTGAGGTTAATGCAGACTGACCCCACAGGTTTACGGCTCAGTCCTAAAAGACTACCCCTACCTCAAATGCCAATCCCAAGACTCAGGTTGTTATACGTGTTTCTGACCAATTGGCTATAAATTGGAGGTTCCCATGATCCCTTCATTGGCTTTGATAGTTTGCCAGAACAGCTCACAGATTTTAGGAAAAATATTACTTGTTTGACTACTGGTTTATTGTAAAAGGATGCAATTCAGGAACAGCCAGATGAAAGAGATTCATAGGGCATGTGGGAAGTGACACAGAGCTCATGACCTCTCTGGGCATACCACCCTCCCAGCACTTCCATGTGTTTACCAACCTGGACGCCCTCCAAACCCCATTATTTAGGATTTTATGGAATCTTCATTACATAGGCAAGATTAATTAAATCATTGGTTATTAATTCAACCTTCAGTCCTCTCTATAGTCCTTCTAGTGCAGAGGTCAGTCAGGGATGGGGCTGAAAGTTCTAACCCTGTAATCACCCTGGTTGGTTCCCTTGGCAACCTCATTCTGTGGTTATCTAACTTTCTAAAAATCATCTCATTAACATAAACTCATGTGTGGTTATGAATAACAAGAGACATTTCTTTTGCCTTTGTTGCTCTGGAGCTATTTCAGGAACCCAGGACAAAATACCAGATATCATGACAAATAATTCTCCTATTGCTCTTATCGCTTAGGAAATTACAAGGGTTTTAGGAGCTGCTTCCAGGAACAGGGATGAAGATCAAATATTTGTTTCTTTTCTTTTTTTTTAAAGATTTTATTTATTTATTTGACAGAAAAGAGATCATAAGTAGGCAGAGAGGCAGGCAGAGAGAGAGGAGGAAGCAGGCTCCCTGCTGAGCAGAGAGCCCCGATGCGGGGCGCAATTCCAGGACCTTGGGATCATGATCTGAGCGGAAGGCAGGGGCTTTAACCCACTGAGCCACCCAGGCACCCCATAAATATATATTTCTTATTACAAATCACAACGAAACAATTTGGAAACCTGTCTTCTTATATCCTGTTTTAGTAGCACCAAAATCTTTTTTCTACTTATTCTACTCAGTCAAAAGAATCTTCCACAAGCTCTACTTATACAGTTTTCTATTTCTTCTCTATGACACTTAATTTGAAATAGCGAATGCCCTGCAAATATGGGACTTGCTTCTATATATTTAGCCTTCTTCTGCATTTTAGCCCTCTAAAATTTCTAGGGCCTATTGGTCTCCAAATCTCTTCAAACAGCTTTCCCCCAAACTTACGTAATTGTTTTAAGTAAGATTACAAGCTACTTCTTCACACCTGTATTTTTTTTTAAAGATTTTATTTATTTATTTGACAGAGAGATCACAAGTAGGCAGAGAGGCAGGCAGAGAGAGAGAGAGGAGGAAGCAGGCTCCCTGCTGAGCAGAGAGCCCGATGAGGGACTAGATCCCAGGACCCTGAGATCATGACCTGAGCCGAAGGCAGTGGCTTAATCCACTGAGCCACCTAGGCGCCCCTTCACACCTGTATTTAAATACACTTTTAACAATACATTTATGGCAAGGTTTGAATTTTTCTGATAAAATGGAAAGCATGCTGTTTAATCACATTGACAATTTATAAACCACTTATTACATAATATTTAGATTTAAAACTAATTGCATATTAAAGTGCAAGTTGGAATATATTTTTATATAAACCATAGGTAAAACTTTTTCATGACGTATTGTTTTTATTTCTATACTTTTTTTCAATTATACTTTTTTAAAATTTAAATTTTAGTTAACATACAGTGCAATATTGGTTGCTGGAGTAGAATTTAGTGACTCATCATTTATATACAATACCCAGTGTTCATTACTTGTGTCCTCTTTAATACCCATCACCCATCTAGCCCATCCCCAACCCACATCCATCCATCCATCAATCCTCAGTTTGTTCTCTATCATTAAGAGTCTCTTATGGGGGTTGTCTGGGTGGCTCAGTGGGTTAAGCCTCTGACTTCAGCTCAGGTCATGATCTCAGGGTCCTAGGATCGAGTCCCACATCGGGCTCTCTGCTAGGCAGGGAGACTGCTTCCTCCTCCCACTCTCTCTCTCTCTCTCTGCTTTCCTCTCTGCCTACTTGTGATCTCTGTCAAATAAATAAAATCTTTAAAAAAAAAAAAAAGAGTCTCTTATGGTCATTTCCCTTTCTCTTTTTCCCCCACTTCCTATATGTTCATGTGATTTCTTAAATTCCACACATGAGTGAGAGCATATGATATTTGTCTTTCTCGGACCAACTTACTTCACTTCATATAATACACTCTAGCTCCATCCATGTTATTGCAAATGCCAAGATTACATCCTGTTTTGATGGCTGAATAATATTTTATTGTGTGTGTGTATATATCTCTATATATAGATATAGAGATATATATTTGTCCTTTGTGTATATATACATACATCACATCTTCTTTAACCATTCAGTTGATGGACATTTGGTCTCTCTGCATAGTTTGGCTGTTGTTGATAAAGCTGCTATAAACTTCTGGGTGGATGTGTCCCTTCAAATCTGTATTTTTGTATCCTTTGTATAAATACCAAGTAGTGCAATCACTGGATCCTAGAGTAGTTCTGTTTTTAAGTTTTTGAGGATTTTCCATAGTGTTCTCCAGAATGGCTACACAAGTTTGCATTCACACTAGCAGTACAAGAGGGTTCCCCTTTCTCTGCAACTCACCAACATCTGTTGTTTCCTGTATTATAAATCTTAGCCATTTTGATAGGTGTAAGGTGATATTTCATCATGGTTTTGATCCGTATTTCCTTGATGATGAGTGATGTTGAGCATCTTTTCATCTGTCTCTTAGCCTTCTGGATGTCTTCTTTGAAAAAGTATCTATTCATGTCTTCTGCCCATTAAGAAATGGATTTGTTTTTGTTTTTGTTTTTGTTTTGGGGGGTGTTCAGTCTGATAAGTTCTTTATAGATTTTGGATACTAACGTTTTATCAGATACATCTTTTGCAAGCATCTTCTCCCACTCTGTAGGCAGCCTCTTTGTTTTGTTGATTTTTTTTTCCTTTCCTGTGCATAAGCTTTTATATCTTGATGAAGCCCCAATAGTTCATTTTTGCTTTTGTTTCCCTTACTTACGGTGATGTGTCTAGTATGAAGTTGCTGTGGCTGAGGTCAGAGAGGTTTCTGCCTATGTTCTCCTCTAGGATTTTGATGGTTTCCTGTCTCACACTTAGGTCCTTCATCCATTTTTATTTTATTTTCATGTAAGGTGTAAGAAGCTGGTCCAATTTCATTCTTCTGCATATTACTGTCCAGTTTTCCTGAACCCATTTGTTGGAGAGACTTTTTTCCATTGGATATTCCTTTCTGCTTTGTTAAACACTAATTGACCATACAGTTGTAGGTCTGCCGAATGTTTTGAACTGATGAAATACAATTGTAATAAACACTGAATTGTTCTTCTCTGGTGATTCTCACATCTGTGTCAGCTCTGGATCATTTTTAGATGATTGATCTGTCTTTTCATGAGGGGTTATGTCCCCTGCTTCTGGGCATACTTCACTCTCTTGGATGGAATGCCAGACAGTGAGACTGTTACCTTGTTGGTTGCTGGATATTTTTGTATTTTCTATAATTTTGAGCTTTGTTCAGGAATGCATTTAAGTTACTTGGAAACAGAAATTATTGCTGGTGTTGCTTTAATGATTTGTTCAGTGGTCCAGAGCTGCTCTCAGTGGAAGGTTAATGATGAGTTCCCAATACTATGGCAATACCTCCCTGAGTTCTCCACTCTATGCCTCATGAATTGGGAAGGCTCCTTTTTTTTTTTTTTTTTTTTTTTTTTTTTTTTTGTTTATCTGTTGGGGACAGGCTCCATGCCCAGTGCTATATGAACACCAGGCCCTGTTCCCTCTAATGTTTTCAAATAACTGCCCCCTGAATTGGGGTCACTGCCTCCCATGGATAACCTGAGCAGGACCCTGTTGCATGGGGGAGGGCTCTTCCACAGCTCTCATTAGTTGACTTTCCTCAGCTCAGTCCTCCCCCATAAACCACCTTGTGGACTCTCAGCTCAGTGTCCTCAACTCCACTAGGTCTACTGCACTTCTCTTCAGTTTCCCCTCCCCTGTGGCTTTCTTGGAAACTCTCTGGCAGCAGTTTCCTGGAGCAATTGTAGGGTTCCACTCACCTGTATGTTTCCATGTCTCCGGGAAAGCTGTTCTCTTTGACTGATGCTCAGTATCTTGGAAATCTGCATTTTGTGGTTCTTGTGTGGTTTTGTTGCTGTTTTGTTTGTTGTTTCAGGCAGGAGAGTAAACCAGTTTCTGTGAGTCCACATTGGTATGACTCCTCTTTGTCCCCAGGGAGAAGAGAGAAATACAAAGCAACTTTACCAAAGCACTGATGGGCTAAGCACTAAAAAGAAAAAGGAGCACAAATTTTCAGACTTTGTTTCAGAGACCTTACTGTAGTATTTCTAAGAAGACTCCAAAAAGCATGAATGCAGTTCCCCTCTTCAACAACTTATGCAACCAAACTTTCCATATTTGGGGAAATTGCAGGGGTCAGCACAGCCAAGTGCAATGGATAAGGCTCACCCCGAAGAAACAACTTCTGTGATCATGACATTTTCCCTCCCCTGCCCATTTCATTAAGGTATTAGAAATGAATGAATCTGAGATTCTAGTTCATTTTCTCCATTTATTGAGATGATCTATTCATTGTCATTGTCCTTTTTTCATGTTATAATTGGTCTTTTTCCTGGAATTTTTCAATATATATCCTTATGAATGAAAACTGAGAGCCATCTAAATGACTCCCAGTTTTAGTGTCAAGACAAAACAAAACATACTTCCAGGAAAGAGAATATGCGTATAGTTACTTCAATACTGTTAAAATTAAAAAAAAAAAAAGTTATAGGTATTTTCAAATTTGAAATTCCTTCTTGGTAGTTGATCCAGGGGAAAATATATATATATATTCTCCCCCCATATAAAAACTTTGCACTTTTGGCTAATTCAAACTGTATTCTAGCACTGTTTTAGGGACGATCATACAGATCATGAAAATTTCTTCCTAGTGTTATCTATGATGGGTCAGCAGGAGGGGCTCCATAAAATAATCTAGATTAAAAAATTGTTCAGCTGTCGGTAAACTCTGTCTTGCCTCAGTCAATATTATCACTTTGATTTGTTAACAGATTTGGTGTTGGAAGTATTACCCATGATTAATAGACTTAGGTTACATATGTCTTTACTTATGACTAATTTCATATTCCTTTGGTAATATCTATTATCAGTCCTATATTGTCCTTATCATTGAGGCTGGAGATGGTAAGGAGAAATATAATAGAAAGCAGTGAATAAATGAAGGTCTACTATAAACCAAGATTTTCATGACGCCAACATAGTTACTTTGTCCTTTGAATTTTGACCACTTAGAAAGGTGACTACAGAATATCGGAAGTGAACATGCTTCAACTTCTAATATCCTGAAAAGTTTTCAGGGATGTTTGCTTAGAGTAACAGAAAGAGTGTGAGTTTGGATGAGTATGTGAATATTATTTTTTATTTATTTTTAATTTTTTTAATATTTCTACCAATTTGTAGGTTTCTAATGATATGACATCAGGTGTTGACAACTTGACGTGTGCTTTTTGTGTAGCTTTGATTTTTTATTGTTGTTGTTCTTTTTCTTATTTTATTTCTAAGAATAATCCTAACATTCTGGTGGGTACTTAGTAATATATTTTTCCTTTTCTACTCAAGTGAAAGCTTATTGGCAAAACTCTTATGGACACAGAAGTTACTTAGAAAATTGAAGTAAAGTTACAGAGGGTGAGATGGGGTAATAGTGGACATTTTTCTAAGCTGTGCATAACTGGGCTGTGTAACATTTGATGAAATTTGTCTACTCTTAAAGATTAAGATGTATATATTACTGAACCTATTATTAGGATAAAGCAACAGAAATAATTTAGAATTAAATACCACCAGGCTTCTCAACTTCATATTAATACTCTAGAGGGACTTGGAATGTAAGAAGTGTATTTCATATTACCCTATAAAGAAAAGAGTAGTAATAACCAAGTAAAATGCTGTGTTATATCATTATAAGAGAACAACTGACTTTCTAAAGATTAATTACTAAATTCAAAGAAAATAGGAAAATATTCATCCAAAAGATCTAGAAGCATATGAAGGGAAGAGGGATCGTATTCTGAAGAACAAAGAAATTGGGTTTTGCTCTTTGAGGTTACTCAATAAATAATATCCTTTTCTTCCCCCATGTTTTGAACAAATGATACATTAGACCACTCTGTTTACTTTTCTGTCCAAAAGGGAAGAAGTAGAAGGATTAGATTAGTAATTTCATCTCTGTAGGATAGAGTGCCTAAACAAGGCACTGGAAGGAAAAACAGAGGTCAGGATGACACATATAAATTATTCTTTAGATAATTTTATTTTTTAGCTTTGAAAAAACAAGAACGATATATTGGGACTCTTCCCAATGAATTTCAGCTGCAAATAGCAAACCTCCTGATAGCTTTCTGAAAATAGAGTATGGGAATATGAATAATGAATGTAAAGTAATGCAAAAGAGTTTGGCAAAGCTATTATGAAGCATACATTCAAATGATATTTCTCCTTTAAATTACAAACCTTCAGAGTTTACATGTTTTATCAAACCATAACAGTATTGTTCAAAAACTGTTTTGAAATTAATTTTGAGACTGTATAATGATCTTTTTCAGGAGATTACATTTTTGAAAAATTTAAAAATAATTCAGAGGCAAGTGTTTTGTTCCTGCTTCCTCATTGAGCTCATTCCCCCAACCTCATTGACTTCCAAACCCACACTACTTCCGTACTACATCAAATAGACATCTAAAACTGAAAAAAAGTAAAAATTTGTATATGGACAGTCTTGTAGAAAATCATGCTAAAAAAGTGCTCTCCAAATCATTCTGTTATCCCAGAGTGTTAGAATATTCTGTTGGATCCCATGGCCAGAATATATTAAATTATTCCCTGGCTAGGATAAGTCCCACAATTACCTGGACTGGTTTTGCTTAATTGGTCTCAATACTTCATTCAGGTCTAACAGAAATCCTAAACATTTTCTTCTAGATTGTTTCTTCCTTTCATACATTCTTGCCCATCATCAGGTGTTTAATTAAATAAAAACCATGTATTTAAGTTAAATTTATGTAATGTAAATTTTATCTAATGCTCCAATACACCAATAAATGGAATTGTTATTCATCAAACTCTGGACAAAGGTAGCATAAAAATCAATTCTATATTTTGATACAAATAATTATTAGATAGTAATTAATCAAATATATTTATTAAGAATCTCTCTGAACTGCAAGAAGCACAATATTGCAAGTGTTCCAAATGTAAAATAAACCATAGCAACACCTAGCTCAACTTCCACCAAGGAAATCTAGTCTGCATATGTGAAGTAAAGTTATTTTAGAAAAATATTGCACATAGAGTCAGAATGCTAGAATTAGATTCTTCTGGTTTTCTCTATAAGTTAAGAAGAGCTATTGGCAGTTGGCCTTTGAGTGTAAAAGCTGAGGAATTATCTTCCTTAAATATAGCTGACCTGCATTTTATACAAGGCAGAGATGGTCAGAAATAGGAAATTTTGGCTCTTCTCTGGACAAAGTAAAATTCTTTCAGTTTGTGCTAAGCAAATGATAGATAAGTTGAATATTAAAATGGTTACATCAAAGGAAGTCAATGAATTAGAATGACTGTTTTCCCAGATTTCGTTTTTGATTATAAGCCTTAAACATCTATTACTTACAATGAGTTAAAATCTGGTTTTCTTTTTCTTTCCCAGTAACTTATTTCTATTAACCTCATTTCAGTTTGCTGCTACACAGAAGCTTTTGCTGTTTGACTGGCTTCTTTTATGAGACAGATGTTATTCTCTTCCCAAATTAAATGTTCTCAGGTCTTTCTGCATAAACTAAAATACATAATATATAATTAAATATTACATATAATTAATTATATAATTAAATATTACCCCCCCACACACAAACTGATATTTGTCAAAGGGGACACATTAGAATTTTGGGAGGGACAATTCTTCATAGCGTGGAATTCCCTATGTGATTCTAGTTGCTTAGCTTTCTTGCCCCTTTTCTTAAATTCAAGTGGCATTTATAACTCACTGAGATAACTACAACTTAGCACTAATGCATTTCTAAATATCCTCTCAGTTTAGTACAGTCTTGATTGAAACTACATATATCCTTAGCCTGTACAAATTCCAGCGTTTCACAAAACTAGATGTCTTCCTAGAACTGAATTAAGTCCAACTTTACAGAACATAGTAGAATTATTCCTTCTGTTTTCTTCTGGGCACCATATGTTATTATAGAGTCCCATTTTTGACACACTATTTTAAAACATATTGATCTCAAGTCAATTGAAATCCCAAAGTCATTTTCACATGTGCTACTATTAGGCTTAATCAGCCCAACTCTGGGCATAGGCAGTTGTATCAAGGAGCAAGAATGTTTATATTTATTCCTACTAATAACTGTTTCTCTGGATAAGTTGCCCAACTTTTTTGAACTTTTTTTTAAAAGATTTTATTTATTTGAGAGACAGAGAGAGAGAGAATGTGAGAGAGAGAGAGCATGAGAGGAGAGAGGTCAGCCCGAGAAACAGAATCCCTGGCAAGCAGAGAGCCTGATGTGGGACTTGATCCTGGGACTCCAGGATCGTGACCTGAGTTGAAGATAGTCACTTAAACAACTGAACCACCCAGGAACCCTTTTTTTGAACTTTTGAGGTCACAGATAAGTGTTTATAAAACATCTAGCTCTATTATAATTCAGGACCTCATTATTTGATGTTTTCCATATACAACACTTTGAGGAACCTCCACCCACCAAAATTTGTATGGAGATTATCTGATGACCCCTCAGGCTTCTCAATCCATGATACTGTGTTTTCTTCTTAGACCTTGTCATAACCTATAATTATTTTGTTTGTTTGCTTGTTTGTTTTCTGTTCCTCACACTAAAATGTTAGCTATCTGAAGGCAGATATCATCTTATCCACTACTGGACCCTTAGCTCACACATGGTGCCTAGGAAGGAACTGTTAATTGTTAATCTAATGTATCCAATTTTTCTTGTAGGTTTAAATATGTACAAATATAGAAAAATATTGTCTCAACAATTCATGGAACCTGACGGCAGATCATTGTGGCTTTTTGAGACCTTCTTCAAGCAAAAATAACTCATTAGCATAATTTAGATATGGTCATTCATTCTGTTTGGAATTCAGCTGTTTCTGTTATTAGCTGTGATTACCTATTATTCCTCACTATCTACTTCTCAGGTAAATAATTGAAAAATATTTGTGAATAAGTCACTTGGTTTCACCAAAAATTAAAAAAAAAAAAAAAAGGTTGAAGCAGCATGTGTCCTTTTTGAATAGAAGTTTAGAGTGTCAAAATTTTCTGGGTTTTCCCTTCAGAATGATACTCTAAAAAGCAAATACCTAGGTGGAACTTCTGTCAGTCTGAACCTCTGAGTGATTATACTAAACAGATAACCTTGAGGAACCCAGGATAGACACATAGTTTAAGTATGAAATGTATTATCAGGGAAAATTTC